GGGGGAACGGGAGGGGAGGGGAGAGGAAGGATTATTATTCCAGCTCCTCTGCTCCAGGGCTGAATGTTCCCCAAGTCCAGGCTCTACGCCCTGTCATCACACTGGGTTCCAACTTTTCTGCTCCCTGCTCTCAGCCTCTCGATGGCCTCGCTGCGCTGTGCCCCTGATTCACAAGGCTCCCTCTCCTCTCTGTACTCCTTGTACACACTCTGCTCTCCTTCAGGGGCTGTGCAAGTCTTATCCTGCCATTTAATGCACATGATCTCTGTTTCCTCGCCTCGCTCATCTCTCCTGCCTGTTCTGCTCATTTCACATGTTTCCCTCCAGGTGTCCACCTGCATTGCTCTTACCTGCCTCCTGCCCCTCTCCACTCCCACACTTTCTGGAACCTCTCCCCAGCTCTGCCTCCCTCCCGTTGCTCCCCTCGTGGCACCCAGCTCCTAGGTTGCCACCCCTCATTATCCAGTTCTTGTTCTCCTGTGATTTCTGCTTTCTTGTGTATAACTCCAGTCCCCCCACTTTAGTGAAAGCAACCTGAGCCTGGGGACTGTGGAAGACATGTTTTGTATCTCCTGTGATATTTAACACAATGCAGGGCGTACAGTAGGTGCTCAGTAAAAATGCCTTAAGTTATGAAGTCAATGATTCCCTCCTGTGCCTGGAAACTCCACCCTCACGCCCAGCATTTCTCTTCAGATACAATGTTTTGCATTTGAAATGGCTTTGTCACTTCTAAAGCTCTCATGCCTGCCTCTTGTCCTGTCTGTCTTATCTGTATGGACTGGGTAAAGGAGGCGCAGGTTGTGATGCTCATTCTAAAGAAACGAGGAGATTCAGTCTCAAGAGACCTGTGAAGTAACAGGCCTGCATGGGGTGCCCCCGACCCAGGATCTGCAGTGTGACCTATTCTGTGCACTTCCTCCTCCGATCGAGACGCGAGAACAGCACCAACCACACAATACGATAAACCGCTTGTTCAACGCAAACTCCGTGTGGAGAGAAGACCCAAGTAAGTATTAGGCAAGCGCACCCTGCCCCACAGAACAAGGGTCCGCATGCCTTGAACTGGGTCGGGGCTCTGGCAGCCTATTTTGCTTCTGTAATTGTCCCTGGATCTTCCCGATGCCAGAGTGTGGGAGGAAACCCAGTCCCCACAGGAGAGCGTGGGTTCGGCGTGGGGCTGACCACCTGCTCGCCGAGCCCCTCCTACCAGGTAGCTGGTCTCTGGGCCGCGTCACCTGCAGTCACGCAGCTCTCCCTCTCCTCAGTCGGCTGCTTACCAAGCTGTTCTCCCAAACGCTGGCCTCTCTCCGAGGAGACGACACGCTCGTCTTCCATGTCACATTTGTTCCCAACCAGGATCACCTGGGCATTGTCCCAAGAGTACGTTTTGATCTGAGTGGACCTGAAAGGACAAAAAGAGGCACAAAAAGAGTGAACTGAGGACAGTGGAGCGGCACAGAATGAAGGCGGGGAAACATGTCCCGCCCATGGTGACCACAGCAAAAGGTGCTCCAATTTGTAATTAATTAGCAGTTCAGTAAAATTCCACCCATCAAGTGCTCATGATTTTATGAGTCAAAAATGAAAGTTCCAATGGTGCTGTGTTAAGAATTCTCCCATACTTGACGAGATGATACCCCTGCTGCCCCTTCCTTCCCCTCATCCTAGCTTGCCCAGATGGTCTGCTTTAGGAGAAAAGTCCCATGTCCAGAGAAACCCCTTGGTTCCAGGAAATCAAGGATGGTTGGTCCCTCAACAGTCCATCACACAGAAACATAGTTTTCCTTGTTACAGTAATGACTGAAAAAGCTGTCAATTGGGCCCAGAAAACGTGGAAGTACTAGTGATTTTTTAAATAAATTATAAGAGCAAATACAGTCATGGTCTTATATTTTTAAGAGAAGAATGCCAGGTTGATTAATATCACAACTACAGGACAAGGGGCTGGGGGTTTAACTTACTATAGACAGGGCAACTAGAGGTCAGAATAAATGTCCAGTGTGAACATGACACATGGGACCAACTTTCGATTTTAACTTAGATAAAAATTATAATAGTTAATACTTGCAGGTACTATTCCAATCACTCATATATGTTACATTAATTTAGTCCTTAGAATAACTCAGGGAGATACTATTACCATCCCTATTTTACAGGTGAAGTGACTGAGGCAGAGAGAGGTTAAATAATTTGTCCATGATCACTTGACTATAAGAGGCAGGTCTGGAAACAAACCCAGCTGCACACGCTATAGCCTGGGCTCTCATAGGGACCTGCACTACTTACTGAAGTGGACAGTGAGTTTCTCCAGCTTCCTAGGGCACTTGTGTCACCAGGAAGCTGACAGGAAGCCAACAGGAGGCCGACTCTCACCCTCCCTTTGTATTGGCCATGCTCTTGTTTGAGGACAATGTTCTCAGGTGGCAGAGACATACCTCTCACTGAGTGGTCAGGAGAGAGACAGAAATGTTGAAAAGCTAAATGCATGATAAAGTTTAATGAAAAGATCAGTAAAGTGTGAGGAGAAGCTTGGGAATGTGCTTCCCAGCACGTTTCAGATCCTTCCAGATCATTAAACAGAAAACAGTGATGAGCTGTTCTCAACGTGCAAAGAGAAGCAAAGCAGACAGCTCCAACCAGCTGGAGAGCTTTAGTGTCACGTGTTGCTGGTTCTCCCTCTGACAGAGGAAATTGCCGGGAGGCAGGTGGGGCTTGATTTCAGGGTAACCCCTGAACCAAGCACAAGCTTTCAGATGAGATGAAAACATCTGGTGAAATACAACCTTGGTTCCACCTCAGAGATGCACCATATTTCATCAGAAGCATCTGGGACATGAGCGTCCTGATTCTGGTACCTGAGTTAACAATGTGTTCCCTTAGCAACAGTGAGATTCAGTATGTTCCCATAAGCCAGGAGCCGTGAGGCCGACATTCAAAACTATGCTTCGCTTCCACCTCTTCTTTTGTGTGGAGTCTATGAAAAACGATGAATTCACAGTGAATTAAGGTGTAAACATATCCTACACATGGATAAACCTTAAGTCTCAAGTGCTAACATAGGGTCTTTTACAGGAACTGAGCTGGATTTCCTCAGGAAATTTTTAAGTTATTCCTCTGCTCCTGCATCTGGTAAACCAAGGCCTGGCTTGTTCCTGGAACGGCCGCAGAGAGAGCCCTCCGTCTCGGCCCACAGCTGGACTCGCAGCCCGACCGGAGTCACAGGAGGGTCATGGTGTGTGAGGAAGGGGTGGGCGCAAATGTAAATGATGGGCTTCCTGAGCTTTCTCAGTCAGCGCTCTGCTGACCTCAGCAAACCCCCCACCGCCCCTGATACATACACTTAACTCTTCCACCAAGTTCCTGGGGGGTTTGCTGCTGCCGTTAGACTCATCATATGGCCTTTGGTCTTGGGCTCCTGGGACAGATTTCACATGTATGCACGTGCTCCTGCCCCCTCACTGCCTGTAAATGTTATGAAGATGTTCTCAGCCAGCTCCTAAGAAGCTCTAGCACACAGTGAGGGTGGACGTCGCTCCATTCCTCAGCCTCAGCACCTTCATCTGTAACAGGTGCCCACACTTCATCTGGGGCAGGTGTGGGTTCTAACTTGCAAGCATCTCTTTACAAATAGACACGTTATCAGTCCCAGACTAGGCAGTTCTTCCTCTCAAATCCAGCTCAACTCATCCTGCCTGATCCCTATAATCTAAATAACAATGAACTTTTTTCATTACAGAATCCCCAGTTTTGTCTCAGTCATCCTGAGATTGAGGCCTTACACAGGTGATGGGAGTGAAAGGTGTGGCTGTTAGGACTATGAAAAAGTCCTCCTTTCATGTGATATTTCTATGTATTTCTGCTTTGGTCATTTGCTGTATTTTGTAAAAATCTCCCTTATTTGGGGAATGGGTTTTAATCTCCTCATCAGGGACTGCCTTATTTCTTTGTTGGTTAGAGACACACATTTTAAAAAAGTGGCTGCCACCAAATAATGTGCATGCGAACAGATGACTTAGTCTGAATCACTGCAGAGGAACCTTTGGGGTTTTCTGTTAAACTCAACAAGATTAATGGAACCAGAAGCAGTACGCTGGTCACCATGGTTACTCAGCAAACGGCAATTAACCCAGACCTTACCAGTACCAGGTCATACTTATTAAAACTCTGTTGTCATTTAGCTAACAACAAAAATAAAAAATAACATCCCCCTCTCTATATACTTATATATTTTCTATATTTTTTCCTCTCTCTAAATAAATAAATACAAACACACACACACACACACAGAGGGTGTTTTTGTTTTTGTTTTATATTATGAGGTAGCAGGAGAGGAAAAGGATTTCTCATATTTTGCACACAGATGACTGAACTCGGCACAGAATAAAATAACTTCAGCTCCTATCCCTTCTCCCTTGTTCTGGGTATAAATAACTTTCGGTGGATTCAGCCTGTTGTCACAGAGAATGGATTCTAGGTGGTCACAATTTTCTAAAACCCAGTGGACAAGATGTACCTCAGGGGACAAGAAAAGCTGTGGTCTCGGAGGCTCTAACCGGGCCACACGTGGGGACAAGGCTGCAGGGACCATGTGAGTGGCTCTTCCTCGCCCCGTGCGGGGCACAGGTCTCCGCACGGCTTGTTCATTTTGGAAGCTCATCTCTCGGGGCATCCAGTCCCTCATTCCCTCCAACGTCTCAACTGCTCAGCAGGCCTCAGAGCTGGGAGGGTTCCCCAGCCTGCTACCGCTCCCCAGGTAAGACTGGCCCTGCCATTACGTTTTCAATAATTTATCATTTATATTTATTCAATCTCTCTTAACCTTTAGAGGGCTTTTTAAAATTACTACAACTTAGAACAATTAAATCATGGCCAAAGCAGAAAAATTGGGCCCTGGGGATGCTGGGAGAAGGTGCTGTGGGAGGGCCAGGGGTCAGGGGATCAACGGATGGACCTCAAACCCCAACTGCCTGCTTCGTTTCAGTCACCTGGTGCTGCTCACCTGACTGGGAAACACCTCAACATAGGAAACACCTGAGGAGAGAAGTAGGCATGTCCAGGGAAGCCTGAGCCAGGCTCTGCCTTGCATGGCGCCCTGAGGACTATATTTATCTTTGTGTCTTGTAAGCTGAACAAGCTCAATTCCAAGCTGTCCCACTGATTAGTCAGCTTCCCTGCCAATATCATCTCCGGGTTATAGACAGTGGCTTCCCTTCCACCCTGGCTGAGAAAGTGATTTAATAATCCATTAGCAGGAGGGGACACCTAAGAGCCTGCTGTACGGCACAGCCCTCGTCAAGGAGTCACCCATGTGGTAAGTGTGACCCTCAGTTCAACACCCTGCTCCCACCAGGCAGGACATGCTACTAATCACTATCTTAATTTTCTAATAATATTATTCTGTGAAGTAAATAATTAAATTACACAGAAATGGCCTAGAAAAAGAAATTATAATTATCACTAAGGAGTGGCAGCAGCTCATTGTCCACACATTCTACTTTTCTAAACCACATTTATTTTCAAGGAATGTGATTTTAATGTATAGGATATTTTCCATGTGATTTAACTTCTGTTTTTGGAAGGTTTCTGGTGCAGGCCAACATCAGAGGCTGAGTACCCTATTTGGAGCTATCAACAACCCACAACTTGAAGTCCCCTCTGTTGGGGCTGAGTGTGTTTGGACAGGACCAAGGGTTTTACTTCATGTTTTCCCAAGATAAAGATTTTAAGATTCTATGGATGAACAGAAAGGATGCCTAAACAACATGATGATAAAATACACCCACAAAATAACACAGAAGTAGCGGGTCAGATGCCATGGGATGGGCACCAATATTCTCATGTTATGCTGTTTCCTGTGTGGAAATTTCCCACCTCAGCCTTTGGAAGCTCTTACGCTTTTGCCACAAACAACAAATATTTTGACTAAATAATAGATGCTTTTGGTTGCCAGCTGTGATCTCCAGAAAAATGGGAGAGACAGGTGGCAGGGAGCAGTGAGGGGGAAGTTTAGTAGAAAGATGTTAGAATGTGTTTTATCTCATATGACACTCAGGCTGTCTATGGATCTCTAAAGAATATGTTACCAGATAAACACAGGATGCCAAGTTAGGCTTGCATTTCAAAAAACATTAAATAATTTCTTACTTTAAGTAAGTCCCATGTACAGCCTGGGAATGCTTATACTAAAGATGTGTTCAGTATTTATCTAAAACTCAAATTTAACTCAACAGTTTATACTATCATTTGCTGCATCTGGCAAACCCACTATAAGTTCCACTTAGGATCCTCCAGCTACTATCGTGTGTATTGATGCCTGGCAATCTCATGAAAAGCAGATTTGGTCAGAAACAATGACAGAAACACATGGAGGGTCTTGTGGTGGGTGCTGCAGCCAGGAGAGCT